GACAGTCATTGGTGACCACTGGAAAGATACGGGCATAGCTGAAGCCCTGGTCACATTATAACATCTCATGGAGACAGTATCTTTTCTTTTGACTAAAAAGACTCAGATCTAGAACACACACTGTTACGCAATATGTATAATATACAGCCCAAACCAATTTTTTCCTGTGCCTTGCAAAATTGAACTTACCAAATTGAATCTTTTGATCACAAAGAGATACAGATAAGGCAGCAGTTGCTGGCCTTGCTCCAAGTTGTAAAGTTGAAAACAAGATCATAGAAGAAGTCTTCAACATCCTAAGAGTTAATGTATCTGTGTAAGTTTTGCTCTACATACTAAAGAGAATTTTAACACTTCTTTAATTACTTCAAGAAGATTATCAACTCCAGACTGAAACTTTCTGTACAAAGATACCATTATCCTTTATGCTTCATAAAGTTGCATTTGTACCTATAACGTATACAGGGTATGAAAGTTTCTAAGAAAAATATCCAGAAGTATGGGAAATTCTGTGATCTGTGACATAACTGCACTACTCTTCAAGATTTTACTGAGCAAAGGATCAGAACTACAAACATTGAAAAGTCATGAGGGCCTTGATGCAAATTAAATTGCCCTTAGTTTGACTTATTTCCAAAACAGCATAATTAACTGGACTTCAGTGAAGTGCTGGATGAAACAGTCCAATTGTATTGAGCACCATAAGCAGACTTCAGTTCAGGAGAAATTCTTGACAGAAAATATTCTTATAATTAAAAATACAAAAATTTATTATGGAAGATACAATATATTCCATCATTCTCAATATTAGACACTTATACAAAGAGTTACATCTTGAGAAAGCTAAAGATAATGAAGGATGTGAACCAGATGCAATACAAGGCTTTTAAACAGAAAATTATATCTTCCAGCAAAGTACCATCTAAAGCTATTTCCAGAAGAATTAGTTTGTGGTTGATTCCCAAAAAGTCGACAGTAGAAGACTTAGGAAATAATTCTTCTTAAAACTGCTACATTATTCCCAGAAATATTTATTACCTGTCAGAAAAGAGAACGTGACTTGCAAGAATTCTTCCACTATGAAAATCAGTGTTGTTCTCCCCGCACCCAAGACCAGGGGTTTAGATCAGCCAAAAAAGTCAACCTTTTAAAGGTACTTTCAAACTACAATAAACTCTGTGTGGAGCAATGATTTACCTGATATGGAAATTCTGGTACTGGTGAAGTGGTATAATAATAGTGCATGACCACACATCAGTTTGAGTTTGACTTTCAGTTTGACTTTCTGCATCAAAGTTATCCTCTATATCAGTGAACAATTAAAAAAAAAAAAAAAAAAAAAAAAAATGTATCATGTTTGATCTCTATAAATCAAAGAAATTGTTACAACACACTGTGGCCAGGCATCTCAAAAGCAAATCAAGGAGCTCATTAAGTCCCAGCTAACTGGCAATCATTTCTTTATCATAAAACATAGCTCAAAGCAATACAATGTAAATAAAAATCAGGTGAAAGTGTCAGCACTTAGCAAATTGAATCTTTCAGTCACAAAGAGATATAGATAAGGCAGCAGTTGCTGGCCTTGCTCTAAGTTGTAAAGTTGAAAAGAAGATCATAGAAGAAGTCTTCAACATCCTAATGTGAACATCCTGTTAATGTTCACTACCTAAGGACAAGCTTAGGCATTTAGTGTATGTTACAAGATTGTGACAAGGAGTTGTTCTTCAAAGAAAAATGCATAAAATTCTAATAGCTATGTGGACTGTGTTTGACAATGTCAGAGAGCTAGTCTATTACTATTCACTTTATTTTTGATTAAGTTCTTGTGCTCATTGAATGAATACTGTCTCTCACTGCTATCACACAAAGGATGGAGACTGGCAACCTCTGTGGACCCACAGTAACCCACACCCTAGCAGAATTGTCTGATGAGCTGCTGCAAGATACCCAAGGGTTTAAGAGTTGAAGGGAATGCTCCATTTAGAACAGGCTGGGGAGCAAAAGCTACTGAAAACCAATAAAAAGTTTCTAAATGCCGAGAAAGTCACAAGGAGGAGGCTGGCAGACAATACCTCCTACTGTTACAAACAGCATCCTTGTCTGCCTAGCAGCCTTGTAGGGGCAGGATAATTTACTCTTATCATTGACATTGTAAGACATTTTTCTGTTTCCTACTTCCAAAGGGCTGGAACAAATGAAAAAAAAAGGGGGAAAGAAAAAGACAGAATTTTCTGCACAAATTATAACTGTACAGATTTGCTGTTAAGGGCAGCTGTTTCTCAGAGCTGGAAAATATACAGAATTTCATATATCTGATTCTCTGCTAGAAGCACAGGCTAGAATCCAACTCATCAAAACCTCTATCAAAAATACAATTTTAACATCTGTTTGGACTTTCACTTATCTCACTGCTCCCAGACACTATTGATTATCATTATCTGCAAGTCTCTAGTATTCTGAACGGCAGCGGCAAAGGGAAATGAAAGTGAGCATTTTCATACAAAGACAGATAGAGGCTTCTAGGGGAGAATGAAAACTGCTGGTGCTGACTGAAATCCAAGTCTAACTTCATCTCATCTTCTATAAATACACTGTCAATACAAAGGAATAAGATACAGCCTAAACTAAAATATTTACTAAAACTATAATGAGAAATAAGGGATTTTGTCAAAAGAGAAAAGGCATTACATTATCAGAGTCCGGTTGCTGTCTGCAATACGCTTCCTGGGAAGGCTATGGTTGCTGTCTTTTTCTTTTAACAGACTTCTCCTCATACCTTTGGTGTGTTATGGGCTTGACTGGACCACAGGAACAGGATATAAAATGTATGGAGGGTAGCAACTCTGTTGGAGTACACAATGAATGTTTTTGCTTTAGCAAAGTAATCTCATCCTTGCCTTGGAAAACTAAAATCCTCAGACAGCAGGAACCCCAAGCAAGAAGGGTAAAGGCTTGAAGCCTTTCCCTCTCCATGCTTCCCAGCTTGAAATACGTAGGTGCTCCTGTATCTGCTCCCAAAGAGGTAAGTCTCTCTCCCCATCCTTCAATATTTATATGAATCCAGCGTAAACAATGTGTACTTCGGACACGTGCACAAGGAGATTTTAGAACCTTCAGTGCTCAAAATCAGGAAGAGTAAGAGAAGAGTCTTCTCTTAATCCCATTGAGTCATCTTTGCACACATCAGGATGATCAATCAGTCTTTCTCCTTTCCTACCTCCCACAAGATTATTTCTTCTTTAATTTGTGATTAAAAAAAAAACAGAAAAGAACATCACCCCATGCTCAAAATTCTACCATGGTAGAAGACAACAATGAGTCACTGTGATGTTTCAGCCTCTCTGTAGGTTACGGACCAAGAACAGACAGAAATTTCTTGATATTTGCCAACTAGCTTTGTTCCATCAATATTCCTACAATTAAGAACCAAAACAAAGAAGCCTTCAAGTACAAAAACAGAAGCACCTTGTGGACTGTATCATCAGAATCACTTCCAGACTAAAGAAACAATTTTTTTGTTTGTTTAATTGTTGACAGCTCTACAACCACTTTTGTTTGTGTTCCTCTAGCACAACACAGACTAACAGCAGATTTTGACTGTTCACAGTGACACATAAAGTAAGATTTAGCCATCATCAGACACCAGAGGAGGGAGGAATCCATACAGAATTTCTACTATAAGTAACGGGTTATCTACTTCTGCAGGAAAAAAAAAAAAGTTATTTTTTCATGTTTTCAGGTATTGGAAGGGGTTGCCCAGAGAGACTGTGTGGTGTATCTCCATTCTTGGACGTTTTAAGACCTGAATGGATAAAGTCCTCAGTAACCTGGTCTGTCCTCACAGCTGACCCTGCTTTAAGCAGGAGGTTGGACTGACTGACCTCCTGAGGTCTTTTCCAAACTGAATCCACCTACGCCTCTATGTTCTATTATATAAAAACCCCCAGATCATCACGATTATCCCCCAAGATTTCAGTGCTACTTCATCTTGTTACCAACCTGCATATCCCAGAGGTTAACTTCATGATATACATGTATGTGAATTAAGAGGCAAAGGAAAAAGGAAAACAGGGGCCAAACAGGAAAAAAAGAAGAAATATTCTGTCTCCTTCCATTCTAAACACTGCTTATTCAGAAGTCTCTTCCCACCCTCATAGTGGGTAAAGAGCTCATAGTGAAAACAGAAGCCCTCATAATTTCATGCAGAATAAAATATTACACTTTCTCATTATGAAAGTTGGATCTATGACCTTGAGAAGTATTAAACACCACAGAAGTTTCAGTCATAGAACAGTTACATGATAGCATACCACACTACTCCATAAATTAAATAGGCAACAATGTCCAAGATTCCTCATTTTTTTCCCATATTAAGATGGCCCATAACTACAAGCCAGCCTTCAGCATAATATATGACAAACAGCTTAGCTGTAGTCTGGTGTACTGTGTGAGCTCAGTTTAAGTGCCACATCCATGCTGGTTGGTTGCGACTTTCAAAAATACCTTGCTTTTTTCATGTTTTTCCTCCCTAAGTAATTGTTAATTTACAGTTACATCACTATGAAGACTGGCCAGATAAAATATTTTTACATACCATTTACACTACTGATTAGCAATAGATTATACATATAAATCCAAATATGATTGCTGAAGAGACTGTTTGTCTTGGTCTCGGTAATTTATGGGGACCATTACTCTTACCCAACAGAACATCAAAGTAAAAATGTGCAAATTAGCTTTGTAGATGGTGTTGGAAATGAAGCACATTGAGTTCTAACATACCGAAATTCTAGACACTGGATGGCAAGAGCATCCTGAATTCAGCCACCTATCACCTATCTATTTATGGCAGCAAATTTCTCTTAAAGATGTATGCACATACATACAAATGTATGTACAAGCATACATGTGTAATTTATATGAGGGTATGCAGGTGTATAGACCATAGAACATGCTGCAGAATCACCCAAACCACTGGAACTGTGACACCATAAAAGGTGTCAGGAGATCCCTGCAGCATAAGTACCATATACTCTGGCATACCCTTTTTCCAAGTGCTCTCCAGCGACCAAATGATGCAAAGATTCCTTCCTGAAGGGTCTCATCTCCTTGGACTGTGGAGATGTACTTAAAACTGAAAGCTTCGGCACACAGGGAGGAAGCACTTGACCTGTCAGCGGCGGGGAGATATTCTGAACACAACAGAACCGAATGACACCAATACTTACTTGGCAGGCATTATAAATCAACTGGTGTTCCAATTTTTTGATCCCTAGAATCTGCTGAAACATTTCATAAAGCTGTTCCTTGCTCAGAATCAGCTCCGATACAGCACTTAAGGCCATTCTATTCGGCTGTTTGCAAAAGTCCTCTTCTCCCCTGTATATGGCATCGTATTTGGCTAGCCAAGAACTTAACACTGTCTCTTTGCTTAATCCATCGATTTCAGGTAAACTTCGGACCCTCTTTTCTATGTTTTTCTTAAAAACATCTCTAAAGTCATTTGCAGAACATCCTCCACTGTGGACCATTCTTGCAACCCGGTCACTCTTGAGAAATACCTTTTAAAATAAAAGAAGAGGAAAAAAAAGAAAGAGAAAAAGTTAGGCATGAACACAAACACAAAACAATCCCTTATAAAGGGATTACAAGCTAGTATTTTGCTCTGTGTAACATGGCTTTATAAGGAACAGTTATTCAGGCCAAGTTTGCTATATTTTTCATACAGAAACAAGTGACCATGTTGAAAAAGTAAGTTTCTGCATTGAGCAAATACTTAAACTAAGTAGCTTTTAAAGTATTTATGCAGAAATTTACAATAGCTAAGCTAGAATGAAGTTTGAATTAACAGCAGTTAATATAAAACTTACCTACAAGATTTAATTAATCTTTCCTCCATTAAAACCACAGCAGTCTAAAGTTACTTGCAAGTAACTCATGGATAAGCTGCACTGTCTCAAAAACTCGGAAGTATGAGTTAAAATATGATCTTCAAGCCAGCCAAGAATCTCATGGAAGATGAGACAGAAATCCAGGAAAAAAAAAAATACTAGACAAATACTACAATCAATATTAACAATAGAGAGAAGAAAGATTCAAAGATACAGAACTGGTTCTACTACTGTAGATACAATACTGGAGACACAGTATGAGATTCTCTGTGTAAAAAACCCAAACAAAAACCAACACAAAAAACCCCGCCCAAGCACACATACTCTAAGATATGACAAGGCAAATTACAACAACAAACCCATTAAATCAGCATCAGCATTCTGTAAGAGCTTTTCAGTCTTCAAGGATGGTTGCATTCACCTCTTCTTCTAACACAGGCCTTGGCAAGGTTGATCTTCCCAGCCACTGTGCGTGGCCAGGTCATTTCTAGTAGCGAGTCTCATCAAACTGTTCCTCTACAAAATGCAACCAACAAAAAGATGACCACAGCAGCATGGTCAGCCGTGTAAACAACTGGCGTCTGCCTTAGACAAGGGATAAAGTGCAACATGCCGTTGAATGGGTAACTCGGGGAGGACCATCTGGCTCCCCACAGCAGAGGGAGATGGGTCAAGGCACTCTGCCCTGCAAGGCTTGGCTGCTGGGGGACTGCCTGGGTGTCACACCAACACCCCCTTGCTGAAATGCAAAGAACAGATGTGATACCATGTAGTCTAACCAGATTTCCTATCCACCACCTTTCTGACTGTTTGCTGTCTTCAGTCAGAGGCTATGAAGTGGAAGATGAGTTAACTATGCATTTTCAGATAATCATTTTAGTCACCAAGATCTATGAAAATGCAATGAATGGAGATGACAGCACAGTAAACCTCTGACTCCATATGCTATCACATGTTGGAAGATGGTGCACCTAACAACCAACCTAAAATATTACTGTGCTTCATTTGGAAAACACAAAACAGAGCAGTAGGAGAGGAGCTAAAAAGCTGAGCAGAGAGGAGTGCACAGGTGGAAACAGATCAAGAAAAACATATTCTAAAAGTTCCAGTGCTTGTTGAGGCATGTTTCCTGGTAGCATATTTTAAAATGCAGTTACTTAGAAAGTATATCTTTCAACAGATATCTTAATTGATATTGTACAGAAGGCTACAGATTAAGCCTAAAAGTACCTGCCCAAACAGATTATTCAAAAACAACCCATCTCCAATATCTGCTAATCATATTTTATGCTCTAACTGTACCATGATAGATTTCCTTTTTTGGAAACATAAGTATCTAAGGTTAAATTCTTATTCATAAAGGGACCTGACATGGTTACTGTCAATTAATGCTGATATTAATTTCCTAAAAATGCTACACAAATATTGAATCTCATTTCAAAACAAAGAATTATCAGAAATTCCACTCAGCAATAAAACTTATCAACACAAACAGATACAAGGATATTAAGCCTTTCCTCGTTTTAACAGTCTGCAATTACAATTGATTCACTCCTCCAACAGCTTCACTGGAAACCAAATAGAAAAAAAATATTTAAAAAAGATTACTTCAAACTAACTTCAGCTACTTTGTATTGTTCATAAACAGCATTAGATCTTCCACCACATTAGTTTGCATAGCAAATGAGAGAAAGCAGATGCAGAAGAAAGAATGAAATTAAGAATATTTATAGGCTCTTCCCCCAAAAATCTCACATTTATGCAAGATTACATGACCCTATGTATTGTTAATATAACTGGATCAGTGTAATTAAAAAAAAAGAAAAATCTGCAAAACACACACTGTAAGATCATCAGAATATCATTCACCTTTCATTACCTTCTTTCAGTCATATTATTCAAACCCATTAATCCAGAATGCAGGGGCTGAAAAGCTGCTAGCACTTCCCTTGACTTAAGAACCAGACTAATTAAAAATTTATTTCTGATTTTGAAGTTGATTTTCTAGGAGACTGCAGGAAAAAATCTGTTCCATTTTTTCAATACTTACCTGTGGAAGGGGAGTACATTGACTAAATGATGGCATGTTCATGTTGGGCAAAACAAATTTTTATATAGGATAAGTCTGTGCAAATATAAAATACAGTTTACATGTATCCCTGACCTTAAAATGTTGCCTTCTGAAGTGTTTCAGGTCACAAACTGTATTTTTATTAAATATTCAAAAATTATTCCAAGATCATTCTTTCACAAAAGATATGGTGGATATTAAAGGATATTACTCAAAATATAAACCCAAGGTGTAAATAATTTACTATAAAAAGTACATGGCTGGTTCTGAAAAGGAATCCACTGGACCTAAAGCTCTTATTGTACTGCTCCTTTCTGAGTGGCAATTTATGAAAATTTTTCCTGAGAGGAAAAAAATGTAACATCATCTTTAAAATGAACTATTTGTATTTGAGATAATTAAAAGATAATAATACCATTTGAACAGAAAGACTCCATTTTTAAGACTTTGCAACATTAAACCATAGAAGAATGGAAATTCAGTTAGGAGTGTACCATATGTGCCTCAAATTTAACACAGTAAGATGCATTAAAAAGCTATTAAATGTCTCGTTATTCCTGTTCCTGAAAGACATATGGTACACTTCACGGTAAATTCAAAATCCTTTGCTTCAGTTACATTTCTTGAGATTTGACTCCTCAGTTTCAAAGCTTTTCTGAGCTGTTCTATGGCTTTTTTTTTCTAAATTCTAAACAGAATTTTATGGGAATTGCTACTATATGGGGAGTGGTATCCCACCAGTTCCGTGCCAATGGAGTTACTGTTTCCACCATTGTTCCAGAAAGCCCATCTGGCTGAGTATCTGTGGGACCAGAGTCCAGGCTAGGACTGCAGATTGGGATACATACAAGCTTTACAACACTCCTGGTACTTTCTTGGCAGCATTCATTTTAACAATGAAATCTATAATCTTTCATAGCAGTCTTAATGTAGTTTACCACTTTTTCTTCAACACGGATTATATGCGCAGCCCAATCATCCCCATTAGGGAAAATTTTTGTGTTGATATCTATCTTTAGAGCAAAGTACTAATTAAGTGCATTCACTAAATTGTTGGCTCTTCTTCCCTTTATTCCTGTATTTGGATTGTCTGATCGTTAGACTTAGTTCTAATTAAATGATCATTCAAAAACCTCCAGTGTTAAAATGTTATCCCAAGTTTCTCAACACTGGGGGGAAACTGGAGAGAAAAAAATATTAGACGTTTGAATGTATAATATAAAGTACCAGAAAAAGTTACTGTGGGGACAAAGAAATCTGTTTCTACAAGGAACGAAATTTGGCAGATCAGCCATGATCATTCGGAGATCCTTGTATTATTTAGAAATAATTTGACAAGAGTCAAAGTTTTAATGAAGTATTTCCTGTTTCTACCAACGTTTTCTGGACTTCCTCAAAAAAATCCTAGGGCAATGCTCTTTGTTAGTCAGTATTTGAACTTTTAGTATCATTATTGGTTCCTTAAATCTAAGTCAACATCAACTCTTCATGTTACCCGCTGCTAACAAACACAAAAAACCCCACTATTAACACACACAATGCATTCAGGAAAAAAACAGGTAGTTAAAAGACAGGTTTTCATCAGCCCAATATATCCATCTTGAAGAACTTTTTCAATTCACATTATTTAGAGCCCTTCTAAATACTCTTGGACTGAGCCATACCTACAGTCTTTGATGGATAAAGTTCTCCTCATACCATAACCAAAGATCGTCAGGTAAGGAATTTGACAACTCCTCAATTTCTTCTTCCCTTATAATTACAGTAACAATTATAATTTGCATCTATCTACTGAAGTATGGTTTAAATTCACTTTTTATCCAATCATTACACATACACAATTTCATCTGTTGCAAATGCTAGTAAAAAGCTTAATTCAAAATAGTCTTTAGCACTAGATAGTTACATTAAAAGTATATTTCTGTTTAGAGATGAAACATCATCATTTAGCAGTGCCTACAACTTGAGAAAATATTGGAAATATTAAACAAAGAACTGCTTTTACATCTTCTAGCACAGACCCCTTGAATAATATTCCTATTTATTGAACATCATACCAAGTTTAACTAACTATATAAGCAGGCAACACAAATACGATGACCTTATTCTCTACTGTATAGCTTAGAAAAAAACATAAGCAATATGCAACAGAGTTTGCATAAACTGAACTGTAGATAACCTTTGCCTTTTCTTTGTAAACAGATGAAATATGAGGTCCATTAGGCCATGCATTACAAACTTTCATATGTGTTTTCTTTCATTTGGAAGACACATAGTGATGGAGTTTTTTGTTAAGGTCACCTTCCTAGCCAGTTTGGAAGAAAAAACCGAACGCAATAATTATAAATATCTATAATGTTTCTACCAGTTTGTGTAAGTGGTGTTATTAATAAAAAATAACATTTTGTAATTCTGCTACACATACCAGTAAAGCACAACCTTTCAGCTACTTGCTTATATATCAGTTCTAGCAGAGCCTGACTCAGCTCTAGGCACAGCACCAACTGGCAACACACTAAGCTTGCGCTGACCAAATTATGTTACAAGCTCTTTTATTCGCTGGCAGAAAACTTTGCAAAAGGGTTTGATAAAAAGAAAATTGATGATCTAAGCCCCCCTCCCCTTTTCAAACAAAGGATTGCAAAAACAACCAAATAAAAAAAAGTGTGCTCTAAACAGTACATTACCTCAAAAGGGAAAAATATATATACATTAGGATTTTTAACCAAAATCTCACTTTCATACTAACATTCTCTTCCAAAGTAAAACACAGAAAGTAACCACCCCGTATTTTTACTTGCAAAAACGTTCTGTCTATCATACAAATCTCTTGCAGAACACTACTCACATCTGTGGTATATCCAGTGCTATAAAATAAAAATCGTTGGGTTTGCAGGTAGTAAGTTATAATGGAACACTTTTTTTAAACACAAAATTGCTTTCTTATTAACCATGTGAAAACTGAAATTTTAGTTTCAGGGAATATAAGTGTGTGTATATATACTCATACATATATAAATGTGTATGTGTCTGTGTAATGCATGTGTGTATACACACACACAGAGAAAAACACTGCAGTCAGTCATGTTCATCCATTATCCATTTTGAAGACAAATGAATTCGGCTATGACTTATTGCTTCTTATGTTTTGCGTATGAGTCTTGTGTGGTAACAGTATTTTGTTTAAGCAAAACTTCGTTTGCTCTTTTAAAATTCAAAAGGGTACTGAGAAGGGCAGAAGGGCCACAAGAATGATTTCTCAGTCTCTGAAAAGGAAACTCCTTACTCATCTGGCCCCGTACACCTTCTAGTAGTGCAACTGCACCAACATTCTCCCTTTCATTAAGCAAAGCAGCACTGAGAACTTCATTTGCCACAAGAGCAGCTAGAGATTTTTCTTCATTTTTGACAGTCGCTGCTGTTCGTCTAGCTTTGAGGAGATCACATTTATACTCTAGACACGTCCTATGTCTTAACAGCCAGGGCTCAGTACATCTCTCATGGAAAAGATGGCTGCAGCTCAAAATGCACACTATGTCCCTGGGACAGTAAACTTCTAGACATACGAGACATCATCTGAATCAGTTTCCTTACCACCATTCTTTACAACACATACTTTAAGCTGCCTAATAGCTTTTTTCACTTCTGTTAAATTCTGGCATTACTGGATCCAAGCTCTTGGTATCCTGCATGTTCCAGCACAGCAACAGGTGGAATAAAACACCACAGCCCTTATACACAGACAGGGCCTCTAAATAATGGTTCACCCAGGAGCTGTGGTAGCTTCCTACTTCTATTGCTATGATTACTTGTATGCCACTCTGAATTAAGCATAAAATGTCCTTATCTTCCAGACTACCAATCACAGCTGTAACAGTATCCTCTGCACTGATGTAGACTGTAAGAAATGCTTCACTACCTACACTTGGACATTTTTAAGTGATTGCACCAATTGCTCCAGTTGACACTGCACACTTTATTTTGCCTGTGAAAGTACACTATCGCCTTCTATTTAGGACTATCCACGTTCTCTGTTTCTGTTGGCCTCCTCAAGCTTGCTAAGGAGCTGCAAGCACTGCAGTGCGGTCATTTGGGTAGCACCACCAATCCAGACACAGTCTTTAATGGTGAAGTTCTTCCAGAGACTCCACCAGGTGCCGACTCCCACACTGTCCTCTCCCCAGGCTGGAACAAAATGCTTGGGCAAGCAACTCCCAGTCCATGGGCTTGCGATCAAAGCAGACAAGGCACCATCAAGACTGCAAAGCACAACCACTGGGAAGATTTGGCCTCTCTTCTCTAAGCCCCAGTCACACCCTGTTCATGAAGGAAGACACTTTAAGGGCATTTTTCCCAGTTGGAGCTGGAGCTTGTCACAGAGGCATAGTCTGCCGGAAGCTGTGTTGCTTTCCCATATTACTGCCCTCAGCGATGGCACTGCTGCTCTTTGGCTGGTGGGATCTTCCTCGGGCAGGTGGGATACACTTCCCGTTCCTGTGTTTTGTGGTACTGCCATGTCAATCTCCTGTGCTCAGCGCAGAGAAGTAACACTCAGAAGATTTTTGTTGAATGTGGGGATAGACCCACTGTCCCCAAGATAACAGCTGCCCCAATTTCATCTGCTTGTCATTTTTACTTACTATACAATACTTTAACCCTACATTCATTGACTATCAATGCCTCCACATAAACCGCTAAAGTTTAGTTACTTACTATACAATACTTTAACCCTACATTCATTGACTATCAATGCCTCCACATAAACCTCTAAAGTTTAGTTTAATCTCTCTTTCTCTCAGGAAAACAAAAAAGAGCAACTTTCACTGTAAGGCACGTAAGGGAAGTTCAGCCTCTGACAACATCACACATTCCACCTTTCAAGTGCTTCCAGAGCTTTCAAACCGTATTCGACACATAAATTACAAGTGTAATGCTATACGAGGGCCAACCACTGTCTCTCCTACACCGGCTCACAAAGACTGATGAGCCAGCTCATCAGTCTACCTAGACCTCCAACGTATTCATTCATGCCAATGTACTGCAACTGATGTTTGGGGCATCCTTAGAACCTACTAATGTTAAAACTGAACTTTTTCATGTAACTAAGAAAAAAGGTTGTCAGGTAAGGTTTACTGATACTTCTCTTTGGAGATTTTTTTTTCAGGAGAATACCATCAAACAGACACAGATATACAACTACAGAGGGCAGCATTTTGTCCTTAAGGAATCATTCTTGCATTAAAGGGTATTATTTTTTTTTACTTTAAGCTTGCTTGAAACACAGCTAGAACTGTATTAAGATTAATGGAAATTATGTCATATTGGAAACTGTCAATTAAAATTAAAAAATATAAATGAGTAGAAGTACCTCTTTGATAAAGACTGAACAAGGAGAAAAAGGACTTTGACAGAAGGCCAAGCAACACTCAAGTTTGTGAATGCTTTTCAGGTTTCTGATGTACTTTTCTGATGTGTTCTCCACTCAAGCTCCTAATATGGTTCTTACAGTGACCAGAACCCTTGAGTTTATGACACACAGAATAAATTATTAAAAATGGCGAGCAATTTTCAGGGTTAAATTGAGCTCTCAAATTTCTGCAAAAGACTAATTCTCCTTCTAGGAACTAGAAGGAATTAAAATAAGTTTCTTACTTGAAAATTTTATGTGACATGCATCATCATGCTGTGCTAGAAGCATTATTTGATGCAAAACAAAGCATAGGAAGTTTACTGTGTGATATTAAATAGTACCTTTGCTGCTACTGCAGCAGCTCCTCAAAGCCTCTCATGCAAAAACTCATTAGCAACTCTCATGGCAGTCAACAGCTCTCACCCACTTCTTAAAGTCCTTCCTGTTCCACAGGAATAAAAATATTCCCCATTTCAGTCATTAGCATGAGCAATGTTCTCTGGGACCAGTTCACACAGCCCTCAGTAGTTCCACTGTATTCTGGAACCGCACAATGCATTGCACCGAGAATTGGGGCTAGTTTGATGAAGGTGCAAAAAACTTCTGACACTTTGGAGAACAGCTTCCACAACTACATATTTTAAGAACAAAGGCTTATGCCTAGCAGGAATTAACATATATTATAACAAACAGTTTGCTGCTATACCCTGGAGCTGCAGAAAACCCCATTGTTTCAGATATGATGTTCTCACTCCACTTATGAGAGTCTGAAATAAAAAAAACACTCCAAAAATTATGAAGTTGATGTTTAGATGAGGTTTAGTCTGATCAACTAATCAAACTACAAGAACAAGATCATTTTGGGTCAAAAATAAATAGCTTATGCAGTAGCTTTGTACCTCTAATAGTACATATTAATTATTTTTATGCTAGTTGAATAAAATTGCTGTGTTAGCCATTGAAACAGCATTGATATTCTAAGAGACTAATAGATACCAATGCATTCTAATAACTACTTTTAGTAAATACCGGCTGCTGAACGTGAGTGGAAATTGAGCTACTTACTGAGATTTGCTCAGTATTTTGGAATCAGAAGTATTTTTTATGTTTTTAGAAAAAAAAATATTTATAAGACTGGCTTGCAGGTCTTCTTTCTTCCTCATTCCCTTTCACCCCCTAGAAATACCCTCCAGGCACTATGTTGATTTTTTTTTTTTTCTTTTATCTGTGTAAGTCTTCAAAACAGAGTCCTTACCTTCAGGTAAAAGCAAAAGATACTCAAATTTTTAGAGATCACACTAATAAACTCCTATTTCTCTATTAAGTATTTCTGCTATGATTTTGTTAATCACAGGTGTCTTCTCCTAAAAGTATACTACACTGTACAGTTTTCCATTATTCGGGGGGGAAAAATGCTGAAATAAAAAAATCTTAAATTTTGGTTAACAGCAAGTTTTTTGTTTGTTTTTAAAACCTCCTTAAAACATCACATTATACTAATGTGAGAAAAGGAAATAAATTTAAAGTGATATACCATCATTGTCTGAAGAGGCATAGTCTTCATTTAATATTTATCCTTTTTTTTTTTTTTTTTTTAATAATATCATGTCTACCACCCTTCTGGAGTATATTAAGCTACGATTTCTTCATATCAAGAGTAATGGTTCAGAAACCATCACAAGTTGAAATCTTTAGAAGGTTTACTTTGTTTTCTTCAACTCTTTTGGGCAATATCATAGCTGCACATTGGACATTTTCCACAGCTTAGCAACCAGCTATCTGTAAAAAAAAAACACCGAAACCCAAACTCTTGCAAATTCAGATGTGTGCTACTTCTCTAGGCTTACAGGCTTGTAAGCATACTACACAACACTGTGCACTGGGATTTGTTTCTTTGCCTCCTTTTTCAAATTGGCACAAGCAATTGCCCCAAGTCTTCCCAAATTTCTGTTCCTGATGGCTACACATTTCGCAGACTCATGTACTGCAGTGTTCGTGCCTTGGGCACAAGAACAAACAGAGCTATAGTGACAATCGCCATAAAAAATCCACAAAAGTATTTCACCCAGAAGCAATGTTTTCTCCTGGATTCATTTATTAAAGCTATCCAGACGCCCTTTTGGAACAAGCATATTTATCCTCCTTTCAAGGCTGACAACAGCAACAATAGTTTTTGCACCCTTGTGAGACATAGCAAGTTCTATACTGTTGCCTATATGAACATCGTTGCGGATTATTTTAGCAATAGCTCTACTTGCTACAGCCACTGCTGTCTTCTCTTTAAAAGTACAGTCTCCCCTTCCACCAAGCCCCAGAGTTCACTGGATGTCTGAAGTGTGTTGAGGGACTTTGTTCACCATGGTACTGGCCCTCAGGTGATACCAGCACTGCGGTGGAGTTATTCTCCAAATATCACCCAGATGTACAATTCCAAAGTGGTCCAACTTCCCTCCCGAGTGAGTTTGCTCACAGAGGCAATGAATGTTCACATGGTTCAAGATCTGGGAGGGCTGATCCACAGCCACATATTCAACACTGGCAGCCAGAAAGAGGCAAATCCTCTTCCCCAAAGATGAGGCTTGAGTACGTTTGTGAGAGACCCTGCATAAGGGTGATTACAAGAAACCAACTACAAAAATGACTTCTCGTCTTCCAGTTGTCCATGGCTGGAAGGAATTAGCTGATAAACAGGTAAAAGGACAGCAGAAATAGATCTGCATATTTCAAAATGTTTTGATGCTTAGTTTGCTGAAACATAAGAAACAGCCTGCTGTTAAAAGACATCTCAATAATTCTGTGTTCAATAATGGGACTGGGACATCTGACATGCTGCTAGGGAGAAAGCACTGTTCCCTCTGCATATTGCTTTCCTCCTGGCTAGAATATTGTAAGCCTGCTGTAGACAATGCCATGAGGTCTGAAATCACACCTATACAAGTCCACTCACCATTCCTATTTAACTGTGGAAATAAATGCATAAATGTCACTGGAGACTGAGCAGTTTCTGTACAGGCCTAGGTTCTTCTATCCAACAGCTCTCTCCTACTAAAAAAGCCATATTGCCTCTGTAGATGCTTCTCAAGACCTTCAGATATAGGAGAAAGAACAGATTGAACAGAGTGGATCTCGAATAAATCATTAAGTTCAATAGTTCCAAAACAGAAATGGTATTCCAGCTGTCAGCCTGCCCAGGGGAAGATGTTAATTACCATCATAGCAAGAGAAACCTAAACTCTGTGCTAGACATGAGAAGTTTTCAACATCTATCTTTTTAATGTATTGACTGATACAGACCATAAGCACAAGTGAAAGTGTTTTATACTGAACAACATGCAACCCCAAAGGGAGGGGGAAGAGTTTTATGCTTTGAAGCACACATTTGTTTGTTTGCAAGTTAAATGCAGGGGTCGTCTTGTCACCAAGCCAGACAAGTTACCAACAACCTATTCTTATGCTATTTTCCCACTTTATTCAAGACTTTGGAATTAAAGCAGACATGAAATTATTTCAGCATAGAAATACAAAGCAGAGGTTTTCCTTGACCACATAAAGAACTTCTTCCTCCACTGTGTAAGGCTGCAACATGCTCACTGTCCGTGGTTATATCCATTGCCACCTACTTGGCAAAGAAGTCATTTGCAAAGCCTCTTTTTACCAAAGTGCATTTTCTTGGTTAGTAAAGTGAAATTCAACAAGCATTAGGAACTCATCAACACATTTCTTCCAGAGTTTCTCCCCTCTTTACAAAAGAGCTGAAAACTTTCTCCCCGGTATGCTGATCTTGCCTGACCAGAACTCCTCCCTTTGGGGACCAAT